TAATGAAGTCATTTACCCATGCGAACTCTCTCCATTGGCTGAGGAAGTGGCTACAAGTGGTACTGGTAGCAGTCCAGGATATCCTAACATTGACCTCAGCTTTACTGCACATGGGATCGACGACTGTAAATACACAAACAAGGGGCGTTCCGAGATAGGCACCTTGTCATGTCCAGGTGTGTCTGACATCGTATGCTATGACAATCTGAGCGCGGACTCGGTCTCTTGTGGTATTGGCAATATTTTCCCGAGTATATGGTGTGAGTGGTAGCATACGGACCAGATAGTTTAAAAACGCCACCAAAGGAAAGATGGAGTCCAGCTTAGAGTTGACAAATTAAGCTTGCCATGAACTCATGCCATTTAATGTACTTGAGTTCTCTGGCAGTGAAGGCACCAATAGACCCTAGTTAAGTAAATTTTCTGCTTTTGAAAGAATTTAGCTGTAATGCTGCCCGAATCTTGCCCTCCCAGAGCCACCGACGACCCGCCGCCTTAACAGGCTCTAAACCGGCGCTAAGTAGGACGAGCACAGGTAGGCACCGAATGCTCTACGAACATGGTTCAGCCAAGTTGGCAGTGCTCTATAGCTGAGAACCCTAATGACATAACTGTCAACTCTTCGTGAGGGCTCTGACAGGGAGTTGTTTTGAGTAACTAAAATGTAAAGAGTAAACACTAGGGTTCTCTTCTTTGTACCATATGCTTACACACTGAGATTCTATATAATTCTAGAAGGCGCTCTATTTGGCTTTCTAATTCCCTCATACTTCGCTCACATATATTTTCTAAGCCGACCCTCTTTTCCTATTCTGACTCCTACCCTCTAGTGCTAATATCTTGCCTTCTTCTTTATCTACTTCTTCTACTACGTCAATAAAGCAATTGCCTAAGATACTAAAGGCAAGATCTATAGAAGATAGAAGAAGGTTTTATAGAGGAGAATAGTTATACGGATAACTATAATATTGTCGATGACAATCTTATACCTAAGATGTCTTAGACTATACTAAAATTATATTATACTAGAAACAATTAGATTTATAAGATAATGGAGTTATCTTTAAGAAGGAACTACTACCTTGAAAAGCGACTGATATAAAGTATAGGTTCAAAGAGGAGCACCCTCATACAACTCCTCATAATCTATAATACCTCATGCTCTTTGCAGAGTTCATAGCTACATCCACCCCAGACATCCTCTCAGAAATGAGCGACCGTGCAGTGCGTACGCATCCATTTCCAGGAATTTGCCTCTGGTGGAACCTTTATAATGCGAAGTCCTGTATCTCGCGCGACCTTACTAATTCGATCACCAATGTAAGCTCTAGTGAGCACCATCCTGTTGCAGTGGCTCCCTATAACAAGAGACGAGGACATTAAGACAAGGATTTAAAAAAAGCAACACTGAGATATTGCGGGACGTAAGATTATCGATAAGCGACGTCTGCTCGAGGAGCCTTAGGAGCCCTGGCTCTAGTGATATTGAGAACATCGATATCTAGGCAGACATACTACATTGAAGGCTAGCAACCTTCCGTCGCTCGCGACGCAGTAATACATCGCAGTCGCTATCACTATCTTCGTGTTACTCAAGACCTTCAAACAGGCATCCCTATCATTTCTAGGAAGTCTAGGGCCGTTACCTCAGCGCATACCCTCAGTATGAGAAATGTTGACTCCTTTAGCTATTCTTATCTATAACCTTCGTTTCTACCTTCTCTTTGGCCTCCTTGGTGCAGCTCAGCCTAGGCTTAGCCCGACTTGGTCAAATGTCTCAGCGTAGAGCCAACTCACCTTAGGGTGTCAAGAGCTTACCTTTGAAGACGGAAATGGATTTTGGTACACTTGAGTTTTGTCTCAGAGTAATGCAGTATCCTGAGACGAAACTTAAGCGACTTTTAAGTCAATATCACTAGTCGCTTTATAGGTTTCTTTGCTGGCTCGCTCCGGTGAGCTGCCTGTATTGTAGACATTGCCAAAGCAAAGATCGAAACACTTGGAGAAGGCTTAAAGAAGACCTGTCTCCCAAATATGGACTGAAATAATCATTATACTTGTTATTCACCAGGTACAGAGTCTACTAGCACTTCTAATTGCGTTTAACATAGTAATTTCTGTGACAGCGAACGTGTAAAACCCCATCAATTCTCCAGTCTACAGCTACAACAGAGGTCAAATCCTGCCGTAGCCTTCACATATGCATACGCTTGAGCGAAGACTCAAGCGGCCTTTTTTTGTTATGAAGTTAAAGCTTTCCCTCAATCGCGGCATTGAAATAAGTTTCGGCATCTTCAATACCTACTTGGGCGATTCCGACTGTCTGAAGACCTGCACTAAGCTGCTCACACATGTCAGGCTGCCTCAAATCGCATCTACAAGCCATCGTTCCCCACTCTGGACTCGAGCGTGTACAGAGCCAGATCCAGTACCGCAACTCATTTGGCGTGTTGATAAATTCGGGAAAGAAGATCGGCACTTTCTTGCTTTGCGGCTGAGTATCATGACCTCGTTCGAGCCTTCTGAGGGTATCACTTTCTTCCTCAAAGATACACCACATGACCTTCGCCAGACTATAGTTCTCAAAGGTCTGCCGCTCTGAGTCAGTAGCATTGGCAAATGGCGTGAAATACCCTGCAGGCGGGTTTGAATAAAAAATACTCTGGGGCATGCAAACGGGGTTAATAGCGCTGTTTTCCCAGCCAGCGGAATGTTTAGTATCCCAGGCCCTGCCAAGAAATGGATGAAGCCATTACGAAGGAGATCCAAACTGTTCAAAATCTACCAGAATAATATCATTGCTTTTAGATAGAACCAAATTGTCAAGCCTTAATTCTGGATAGAAGCTATCCTTAGAACCATGGATATGTTTTAGGGCTAAGGTTATCTACCGAATCCACTTCACTTTCTCTTAGAACTTGATAGGACTCGGATTTGGCGATTGTAGAACATTGTCAAGCAATATGCCGCCAGAATGATATTCTAAAATGAATCCGCAAACAACAGGATCTTACGTTTTCTCAGTAAACCTTGTTACTAAGTACTTTAGCTTGCTTATTATATTAAGATGATAGGACATTCAAAGAAGTTCTCAAAGCTTATGATATATACAAGATATAATAGAGATAGCACCCTTGAAGATAGCCATTTCTCTGTTAGGAAGAATAGTAAGAGAAACTAAATCATAGAGTCGTACTACTGTATACAATTCTTCAAAATCGAGGATTGGTAGGAAGTCTAGTAAAATAGGCGACCATAGCTACTTTAATCGATCTATAGATAAATATTGGGTTTCTACCACTATGTTGAGGCCAATCCAGATGGTATCATTCTAACCTCCAACGAACAGATTATAGACACGGGACCCCATGGTCATACCCCTTAGTACCGGTCGAAATACATTTGCGCTGCTCTATATATCAAGTTGTATGACAATGAGCTTGAGAGTTTCCTTATATTCTTGTCGCTTATCCTCCTGATCACGACTTTTGGAGAAGCCTGTTAGGGTTCGAATGCAAGGATCTTTTTCGTCTAGAATGCCTAGAAGATGATAGGGAGGAAAGGCCCGTTTGTTCTTGCTCAGCGGAACGAGCAAGAGAGCATTGGATCCATCATTTGTAATCCCCTCTATGCTCCACGCTAATGGCAATGTAGGGTTGCACAAGTCGTTTAGCATGCCGAGAAATCTAAATGAATAAAAATCTGTTGTGTGAATGGAATGATCGATGCCACGAAAAGGGAGAGATGTGATACAGATTATATTGTATTGTATTATATTATTGGCGTGCATGGGTATAAAATTTTGTACTATATCTCTTTGATTGTCTTACCGTTTATGGATGGGGGGACTTGATATCGCTCCTATATTTCCAGGTAGGCCTTTACAGCTTCACAGCGACTTCAGCAGATCCCTCCTAGTACTGATAGACGTACATACATTATACCCTTAAGTATCAAGCCTACTAAATATGTATTGACCAGCAAGCTAGTGGGAGGTATGGGGTTAGAGAATGCTGCCTGTTGCCTATGCTGTAATGAGGTAGGGAGGGCCCTTGGGCTGAAGACCATCTAGAAATGAGGGCAAAGTATATGACGTCAGAAAAGGTTGTATTGATGATGGTGAGCTAAGGCTGGTGCCTGGTATAAGAAGTAGCTTATATAGTGCCTTTAGTGCCTCCCTAGCACCTTCCCTCTTTCCCCCTGACAGTACTAGAACCTCAGACACGACTTCATCGCTACTAGGTGCTTACATTCCCTTACCCATATAGCGATAACTGAAAGTATATAAAATCATCTTATTTATAATTGCCGAACCCTCAGACTTGATAATTCTAGGCGGCCATGTAAAACCAAACGAGCATTCACTGGCCAAATCTACAATTGTTGACGAGCCTTCGTATAGCTTAGGAATTTAATATGGCTGCTGTGGCTGCTTACAATACCCGCTTCGTGTAGAGAGGCCTTTTTGACGTGGCTGCTTTACAGGTTGTCCGCTTACCGACAGTCTGTAAGGTTCTGTGCCGGGAAGCATCTTCTAGCATAGGTCATAATTCAATCTGAAACATACCATCCATCCCATCCGTGATCCTTTCTATCATTTTTATCTTAATACTGTCCTTCGCTTCATGATTGCCGGGACGCCTGGCCTGTCGCTTTCCGTGGTCGTCCGTGGGGAAGTAGTCTACTCTCAGCATTTTGGTTTTCGAGACATTAATCACCAGCAACCCCCAGATGGAGACACCACTTACTTTATTGGCTCTCTTACCAAGTCCATGTTTACAGCTTTGGTAGGAATCTTCGTGGAAGAAGGCATACTTGATTGGACCACTCGCATCGCATCCATTTTGACTGAGCTTGAAGATGCGTTTGGTGGACTTGGTTCTCAGATGACAGTTGCGGACCTCCTATCGCACCGCACCGGGGTTGCGCGCGGTGATGGCCTGTGGTTGCAACGAGCTGGGAACATCCTCATTCCCCAGTCTACAGGCATTCAGACCTGGATGTCGCAGCCTATAATTCGCGACTTTAGAGCCGACTTTGTATATAACAACTTCGGCTACGACATGGTCGGTCGGGCCATCGAAAAGTTGACGGGTAAGAGCCTTGGTGCAAACTTCAAGGAGAAGCTGTTTGGACCGCTTGGGATGTCCCGGACATCTACCCAGGACATTCCAAACAACACCAACGCTGCTAAGGCCTATTTCGCACTGGACGATGCTTCTCCTTTTGAAGTTCCCATTCCCATCATCTCGGACCAAGCCCTCATGGCATCAGCCGGGTACGTGCGGAGTTGCACAAATGACCTTAAGAAGTTCTACAGCAGTTCTGCACACGGCAAAAGATCAATTTGCTACCAAAACTACATCAACCCATAGATCACCATTTAAACAGCTTCTGCAGATCCTTAGACCACATAGTCAACTCACAACAGTGTCCCTTCAAGAACAATCTTATTCTCTCGGTTGGGGCCGCAAAGAACTACCTACAACTCTTGAAGCATTCAATTACAACAAGCATCTCATACCTGCTATGCCGCTAGTCGGTCAAGGTTCGCCATCGCGATTGACAGTATATCATGGTGGAAGCATGCAGGGGGTCACCACAGCCGTCTATCTTCTGCCCAAGACAGAGACAGCTATCATCACCTTACAAAACTCAACTAGACTAGGTGACGCTTGTGATTGGATTTCTCAGCTTATACTTCACACATTATCCAGAGAAGAAGGCCAAGACATTGACTTTGAGAAGTTGGCCACCACTGCTAGAGAGACAAGCACCACGCTGGCGTCCAAGATCGAATCTACACTTGAGGAGAAGCATGAAAAGAACACCAAGCCTCTAGAGCTCAAGGCCTACGTGGGACGATATTAGAACAAAATCAAAAACTTTCACATCAACATTACCATCCATAACGACAGTAAGCTCTACATAACCTTTCAAAGCATAGAAAGCGAAACATACAAGCTAAGACACTATCATCACCATGTCTGGGTCTAGAACATGTCTTACAATGTGACGGCAAGGCAGGGACTTTTTCAGACCCAACCTTAGGTGTCGTATAAGGTGGAATTTGATTGTGGGGCAGGAAAAGCTGCGGAGTCCCTGCTCTGGATATATGACGCAGAGTATCCAGCACCAGGTGTCTTTATCTTGGAAGAGGGGTCTCGCTAACGAGTAGGACATTCTATGTATGTCGTCGGCGGCGGAGGTAACATGGTTGTCGTTTTGGCCAGTTCTTCAACCAATCAGATCCACTAGATTATGTGGGTGATATGAGGCTTGTATCATAACTTTGAGAAACCGAGCTTGGTTGGGTAGATGGGAACTACGCCCTGACACTTAGTTAAATTCCTACCTAATATTGGCATAAACAAGCAGAGATTCGCCCGCCTGACAGATGCATATCCTGTATAAAGCTGAGCCTATCAATGCGATTATCACCTATTACATGGCCGGAAGTTGGCAACCATCGTGTAACCTGGCTACGCCTTCACCCACATTCCAAGACGCCACAGCGCTTACATTCGGAAAGAAGCTCGATTGAGAATCTTTCACTTTGACACTAGTAGAGCGCAATTTGTAAGTGGGAAGTAAAGGATCGGGCAGCTGTGTGGAGCGTCCACGTTATGGTTTGGCCGCAATTCTACACATACAAGTCATGTTCTCCTCGAGACCCCTATTATAATACAATGACATAGGTGTTATGGCCTGATAAGAATCCAGTTAATCAGTCCTCAAACTGCCTGCTTGAAGGTTCAATTAGGGCATAGAGTAACTCATAGGCAATCTATTCTTATAATTATCAAACTCTTTATATCCTGCCTCTAAACAACGCCTTTCGTGACAGTATTACAATCATTGACTGTTAAAGCACCGACTGTTATAATTGTACCTGCCATGACATCGCCGTATGAGTTCAAAGGCGATGCAGACCTTTACGGCTTAGGTGTTAGAACTGGATCATATATTTCATGGCTCACAACTGTCGTAGCGTTCCACGGGTACCCCGACAAAACAGTAAGCAAACTTGACGTCACAACCTCTATCAGAAACAATAGCCAACGTTATGCTACTATTTAGATAGAGTCTCTTACGACAAACTGTATATTCCAATTCTGTCTAATGGTTGTAACAATCTACAAGATTGCGACTTATACTGCTTATACTAGGGAGGTATTTCTTATGACAATCTTTAGCATTGGGGGAGGATTTGCTACCATAATCGAAACAATGGTTGAAAAGAAGTCGAAAGGGTTTGGGTCAAGTAAGCTCGCCGAGATTCTAAGGTCTCTCTTACTTCTTTCCTACAGTATTCTCTCGATATGGTTTTAGTATCATGGCTGTGGAATATTGGTAAGTAACTCTAGACTATTCTCCGCAATCTTGAAGGGCGTTTCCCCTTCAAAAGATGATTTGACTGCTGATGCCAATCAAAAGTTGCTTGCTTCCTGTAATTGGCGTGTTTTCTTCTTCAGCTCTACGTCCATTCAAGGCTGGTTCCACAAATTCAGCCAAGGTTTGTCGATCATCGTTCTCGTTGCGAATACGGTCCGCATATGGTATATGAGCCTCGAAGCATGGGTTAATCGTCGAGACATCAGATCATGGCTTCTTCTCGCCAGTACGTTGCCTAAGATAAGAGTTCAACGAAGGAGGGATATGTGGGCTTTGTTAGCGACGCAGACAATTTCTTTTGGTATGTTTGCAGCAGTGATTGAGCTGTTTTTGGCATGGAACCTTGTCCGAGACGTGAATTCCGTCACATCAGCGGGACAATTAATTCCACTAGTGACGGCACTGAGTGGTCTTGGCACTGTATGCTTGAGCCGGACTGACCGCAATTAATTAATTCATATATTGCACGATTGTGAGAGTATTTCAGACAGATTTGTCTGAGGGCCAGTCTATCTGCTCTGTTGCAGCCATCATCTCCCAGAATCCGTCGATGACACACTGGTCCAACTTTACTCTTGCTCAAAAAGAGACAGATAGAAGCGCTCAATCGAGAGCTAAAGGGCTTGAATTTCATACACGCGCTCTTCGCATCCGTCAACAACAGTGTGGCGAGCAGTTTGTTACTGCTATATCCTTGCACAAAATTGGTGTGCTTCTTTATGAAAGTGGCGATTGTATAGGAGCCGCTGAGGTGTTAGACCACGCAATTGCCATATTCGATGGATCGTATATGGCTATTAGGGAGAAGACAAGGTCAATTTTCTATTTGTCGCTTATAAAGGCGGATATGAAGGAAACTGACGAGGCAGAAGTGTTACTGGCCGATGCTTGGAAGTACCTGACTCAAATAACAGGCAAAAAGCGGACGCCAGAGACTGAAAAGAACTCAGACTTCTTTGATAATATTGTCTTCTACGCTTATCACTGATAAATATATACCAGAGCTAGAGATAGGATCGCCCCGCAGGCCACAATATTTACTCAGACTGTACATCTGTCTCTAGGAGAGCTATGATACAGCGAATGATGCACCGAATCTAGCTTCAGGGGCAATAGTTATGCTTGTATCTACGCGAGATCAGTTATAGCTAAGCACATATAACTAAGTCTACAAACGAGGTTCCTTGTGCTACAGGCCGAGTGTAGGAGCCTAGCATACTATGCTTTAGATTTGCATTCGTCTCATGGGTGTACCATTGAGTTACCTACTCGGTCTACCCGAAGCTAAGAGGCTTTATCTCGGCCTTCTCTACATCCCTCGCCTTCCCTAACTTCAAGGCTCTGCCTTGACAAGCATCGCTTACTTTTGAGGATTTTATATATAAATTAGCCTAGTTTAGCCAATGTAGATATGACTTTTGAAACTAGCATTATGATCTCGCTTGTGATGGAAGTTATGCCAGAGGTCATTCTGATATGTCAGGAGGATCTCCTGGCTTCTTACTTGTTCCTCTAGTGTTGCAAACCAAGCCTGAATGCAGGCAAGGCAGATTTAGAGAAGTAGGATTCGGGATGTATGAGAGGCTTAGAGCGGCGTTGCAAGACGACGTGTGGGCATCGCCAAGGATTGAGCCCTCCCCGCCTTTAAGGCGCATAAAAACTCAGGTCTAAGACTATGGTCAGCATTATCTTATGACCCTATTTGTCGTTGTTTTGCGTTATGGGTGATAGATCAATATTCCTTTGAGAGCCTTTCATTATGCATATAGGTGGATTTCGAAGGCTGTGAGCACTTTGATTCTGGCCGATCTATAAGACGAATCAGTTGATCAGTTGTATCGTGGCCCTCACACCACGTCTCCTGGTATCTAGACCTCGTCATCTACGCTCGTTCTGCTAGTTTTCTGATTTCTTGGTCGCGCTACGGCCGGATATGTCACTGCTGGGGTGCCTCCTAGGAGTCATGCTGGTGGATATATGTCAAGGGCTGTGCCCTCTCGGTCTCCATCTGTCACCCCGGAGAACATGAACACGTCTGGCTCCTGAGCAGGTGTAAAGCCAATTTCTCGATTTGCCACGGCAGAGGCCTGTTTCGCCAAGTCTCATTCATGCATGGGCCTGACTTCACAGCTTATCTCAACGAAGCTCCTGAACCCTCCCCCAGCTATCACCATTGAGGTGGTAGCTATGCTTGGCAAGATAGTAGAGATTCGCCATACTAATAGACTACTCTGACTTTCCGTTTGTTTCTTTGGTATACTCGACTATCCTTCTCGTAGATAGAGCTGCCTTAGAACTAGAAGATTTGGGAGAGATGAGATTTCTCAAAGCTATGGCAAGATAAAGGTAGCTTGTCTTGGCTTTTAAGTATTATGGTGTCATAAAGGATTGACTATATCAATTGTATAAACTATAGAGTCTAAAACCAAACTACTTTATTTACTCTAGCATATTCATCTTAAACTAACTCTAAGTCATGATGATACGTTCAATGCCTTCTTTATGCTAGTGAGCCAAATCTAGAAGTTTGGCCTATTACATTTGCAATCTCTATAGACATCCTGAAGTTTTTCATAGATTAGGCAGATCTAGGTGCCCGTGTGTTGAATGATGTCTCATTCTCTCAGCGTAGACCTCCTCGCCACGTCATTGCATGGTAGATGCTCAAGTGTGCCTTTCTCTAGCTTTGCTCTCCACCGGAAATTGTCATATTTACTAGGGAGTATCACGAAAAGTGTGCTATAACTCTATCTTTCTGTATCTCGTGAGATAGTAAGTCAGCTATACTATTTACTTAATATACATTACCTTTATATTTCTTTCAAGTTATTCTTATACTTTATTGATTTTAGTGATTTGGAAGTGGTTTTCTCTGATAGTAAAAAATCAAGTTAATTAGATAAGCTAGAAATTTAATTCTTAAGATACGAAATACGAGTAAATAATTTCTAAGTAGGAGATGAGAAAGTAGATAGTCAAGGTATTGTGTTTGGAACCCAACTTTTATTGGCTTCTGAGACTTAAATCCATTTTTAGCTTTGCGGCAACTTTAACCAGGGTGGCAGATAGAGGCTTCTAAATATTACCATAGTCAACACCTCACTGTATACCCACTGCACACCAACTGCATAGGTTAAAGCAGCAGCAGCACCGGCCCACTCACGAAGAAGGAAATGGGCGAGGGCAAGATTCGGGCAGCATTCTAGTCTGTAATCACTATAACCCTTTAAAGCTCGTGATGGACAAGGCTCTTCTTTTAAGGAGGAAATCCGAAGGTCGCCAAAAGCAAATATCTATGCTCGATGATTGTTTTTACCTATTTGTGAGCAAATAATATCGGATTAAGATGCGTAGTACAGGTACTGTGACAGTAGTCCTTACCTAAAGCACTGGGCGAGAAATGCTCAATAGCTAGCTGGTACCAAGTGTTGCCAGCTGCGAGATATATGTCACAATGCCGAAGGCCCGATTCGGGAGTTAGAATTGGCCGAGTGCTTGGATCGCCATCCCGAAAGCAAAACTCATAATTTTCTAGGATGACTCGTAAAAAGCCGGTGTTGGAGATTTTGAAAAAGTCCGAAGGCAGATATACATTATGGTAGCCCATGTTGCTTTGAATTCTTGTTCTAGCAGATAATCTACACAATTAAAGAGGATGGCCGAGACACCAACACTACCACCGCTCGCTAGCAGCGCCAAAACATGCGTGTATAAGACTGTTGGGAATACAAAGATAGAGATTGAAGTCCTGTCCCCGAAAAAAATCAGCTATGTGAACGGCAATGACATTACGGTGCTACTTTACATCCATGTGGGAGGTTGGATCGCTGGAAGCCGAGTTGATTACCCTCGGACCCTTGTCCATGAAACGCTCAGCAAGGGCTGGATATTCGCATCGATGGATCACCGTCTTCTTCCTGAGACTTCGATCGATGACCAGCTAGAAGATGTACGGGACGTTGAAGGATGGTTAAGAAACGATCTTTCCAGCCAAATAGCCAACAGGATTACGGATGCACGTATCGGTGACATCATGGTTGCAGGTGGTTCTGCCGGAGGACACCTGGCGTTGCTTACGGTAAGTAGCCTTGAGTTACTGTTTCCATACCTAGGTTGAGTTGGTTAACGATCATTCAAATGCAGCCCAAGTTGTGGGCGAAAGCTCCGACTGCTATTCTGTCTTTGTATGGACCTACAAATTTACATCAGGCCAAAGGTCTTACAGACGGGCCGAGATCCGATTTCCCTTTACCAGATTTCACTCCAGAATTTCTAGGTTCCATTACTCACTATGACAATCCGCCTACAAACATTTCTCTTTTCGCTTCCAAAGGATTCAACCAAAGGCTGCTGCTTGGGATGAAGGTGATCAGAGAAGGGATTCTGGCTGAGTTCATATTGAAAAGACTCCGTCAAGACTCGAAATTAGCTCTTCCAGAGTCGGGAATTGTCTCAAAAGAAGCGATAGACTCGATAAGTAAGTTTATATGATCCGGGGGAAGCCACTAGGCGGATGAATGAGTACTGAGTCTTTCCAAGGTCCACTTAGCATTGCCAAGAGTGTCAAGTATCCGCCAACTTGTCAGATCATGGGGACTGAAGACGACATGTTTGACGTTTCGCATATAACAGATCTCGGAGCGGTGCTAGATGGTCAGGGCATACCTCACAAAGAAGTGATCGTCCCAGGAGGAAGTCACGGCTTCGATATTGGGGCTGAAGTTGGCGACAAGACTCATCTGGATTTTATTCAGCCAGCACTGCATTGGATATCACAATTTGTTCACGAATAATATTCGAGAGGAGTAAGAATTTTGCGCATAATTAATGCGCAAGGAGATTCTTGGGAAAAGCGTAAGCTCTGCTCTGTATTACAATAGGTTTCCTCTCTCTGTTCCTCAATATCAGATGTTTAGATATCTAAAACAAAACAACCTCCTGCGCTAAAGACATGTGATTGTGCCGTGCTAGGTTTTACCTTTGAGGATGTTCGGGCTCTTGCTGAGCTTTCTCCTCAGGAATGGCATCTTCAAGGTCGGCAGCATCAGGGTCCTTGATGTTTTCAGGATCGTACAGTGTAGGCTCCTCGTTCACCAACGTGCGGGTAGGAGGCGACACAAGGTTGAGTATCAGATAGACTGATCCAGCAATAAACGTGGACGTCAGCCATGACGCTTTGTCTATTCAACGTGTTAGCGAAATGTAGTCATCAAATAAGAGACAAAGATAAGGCCAGTCCGTGAATCTACAACGACACTCCTTGAGAGAATATGACTTACAGAAATAAGAGTAGTTTCCAATGTCAACCTTGGCATTAATAGCATGAATCAAGCCCGGCAGATTGACTGGAACCACAATGATCAGTGTGGCAAGAGCCCTCCAATTCACTCCGTAATCATAGCGGTAGATGCCTTCGTTTTGATAAAGCATGGGAACGTGCAGGCGAGTGCGTCGGATGATCCAGAAGTCGACAATCTAAGGCGTAAAGGACATTTATCAGCAAACGCTTTTACGCAAAACCATTTTATACGCAGATGCTTACCATGATAGCCACCACAGGGGCTAGGACAATGATATATCCACTCAAGAAAGTCGTCAAGCTTGTTGCACTCGCCAAAATCTTCCAAGGAGCCGTTGCCCAGCCACCAATGAAAGCAGTCAAGGCTGCTCCACGTCGGAGATTAATCCATCTTGGTGCAATGAATGCCAGATCATTACTTGTGGCAATGCAATTCGTGGAGATGTTGGTTCCCAAGGTAGCCAGACCGAAAGCACACGCGCAGAAGAAGGCGCCTGCGCGATTTGTCCATAGTGCAATGATGGATGTTGGATCCCAGTACAAAGTGCCGTAGATAGATTGTCCTGCTGAAGCAACAACAATACCAATAAAAGAGAACACCCAGTATACGACGGGAATGAACAGAAGCTGCCAGTACGTGACAGAAGTCTTGCGGCCGTACCGAGTCATATCAGACTATTGGATCCGTTAATAACGTTGCAGGTACAAAAATGCCCCAACTCCGGAATCGGAAAATTGCTTACGATATTGAGTGCAAGAGTTGTCTTGCCGCTGATTGCAACATTAATACCCATAACCCAAGCCCAACTTTTGGTGCTACCCGAGATCTTGGCCTTCTGAGCAAACACAGGGCCAGCGCCGCCTGTGTGAACAGCCCATCCAAGCAATGCGAAAGCGGCTATCACAGCGACCACGGACTTGATGAAGAACAGCCAGCGCATCTTGCTAGGGTGTATCATGAGAAGCGGGAATTGAACTGAAAGCAGAGGTTAGTCAATCTCCCACGATCTGAATAGGCAAACAAGAACCTACTCAACCAAAAGACGAAATATGCTATCATCATGTTACTGGTTATGCCAGCGGATGTTGGCAGGGCATTAGGGTAAGTCTTGAGGCTTGGCCAAATCGCCTCTAGCATGATAAGCATGCATGATGCCCCTATTTTTGTGTTGATTCTATGATATGAGTCTAGTTAGAAAGCCTTCCTCACGAGGAGAGTCTCATAACCGCCAAAGTTTGCACTCACCCGAAATAGAGTAATCCGAGGACCAGACGGGAGACAACGGCGAAGTACGAGAAGTAGAAGCCCATTGACGCGCGGGAGGCAATCGAGAATGGGATGTGATGCTTTGAGCCAACAGCTCCATTTAGAGCAACCGCTGCAGCAATGATGATGTTGCCGATAGCACTGTCCATCCAGATCAGCATGAAGTGAGCCTCATCATATGTCGGATAGGCCTTACATTGCAACGGATGCTTCACGCCAGCTAAGGCCCAGAGCGACGATTGAGCCAGCTTGCTGCATTGTTCCGACATTGGCACCATCTGCCATCCACAGCCACAGAAAGTCAATGCTAGATACCCGAATTCGATCAGCATTTACTTCTTGCAAGTTAGGAATATCGGGCTTCGTACGCCCTCCATAGTCGCCTCTCTGGCGCAACCACGTCTACGTCGGCATTTGACCAGCCATGGCGTGTCGCAAAAGACGCCCGCGGGGTCTCAAGTCGCCAGTAGTTGACGGTAAACCACTTCCGTGGCTCGGGCTTCCTCATCAGCTTCATCTTGAGCACAAACACGAAGGCGAGACTGATTGAGGCTGCAAATCACACTCAATCGAGTCGGTCACACGAGCTACTCTGAGAATTTTCGTAAATGACCTTTCGCGCGCACGCGGCGTAGAAAAATAAATCATTGTGGTACCACTACTATCTTATATCCGTTGCACTAGAGAAGGATGAGGTCCACTTCGCCAACTCGTACTATCACCAGTTGATACGTTATCTGACGCTTATCAGGCCCTTATCTGATAGAGACGGGGTCCGGCCCGTTCACTTTTGCAGTCTTACAGCGACAAATAGCCGATTTCGGCTTGTCTTGGGCGCAGATAAGAGGTGGAGTTCAGCGCCGAACCGTCGTGTTAGTGACGGCTAGTCAGTCTGGGCTCCCCGAAAGTAGGGGTTCAAGTACTGACCAATGCAAGACTGAAAAAAAATCCAGGACTGAAGTGTATGTCCCCAAAGGCCTGTAAGATGACTGCAGAAGCGACCAATCAACGGCCGGCTTTCGTCTCCTTGGGGATGGTGGTGCTCGATGAGCTTCGCTTCCCTGACAGACCATCGTTATACGATGTTCCTGGTGGCTCGGGTGCCTTTTCAGTGTTGGGGGCCCGGCTGGTAGCTGGACAAGAGCGGGCAAGCCAAGTGGGATGCTTTATTCTGGCCGGCAACGATTTCCCAAAGAGTGCTGTGGAGAGCTTTAAGAGCTGGGAGGTGAATCTCGATATCAGAGTCGACCCTACGAGACAATCCACGAGGGGATTACTTGAGTACAAAGATACTGCTTTTGGCCGTAAGCAAAGATCTCGCAATTGAGTTGATAGACGATTGGATACTCAACCTCTGGTACCACGCTAACCGGTCTACTGCATGTAGGCAAGACATTCCGCTATACTACCACACCACTACACCCATCACCAAAGGATCTACCTTCACATTTCTTAGAGAGTGCAGCATTTCATATCCTTGCTCTTCCATCTCAGCTTACCGATCATATCGAGGATCTCGCAAGCACAAGACCAAAGGCGTCCATTATTGACCCACCCCTATTGGTGTGGGAGCCAACTCCTCCGTATTGTAAGGAGGATACAAGGAAAGAACATATCACCGCTGCAAAGCTAGTCGATGTCTTCTCTCCTAACCATCTCGAACTATTGGCGTTCTTCGAGGACAGCAAGTCGGCACACGACACATCTGATTTTGACCCGCGAGCCATTGAAGCGTGTGCGGATGCCTTCATTGACTCGGGAATTGGCCCCTCTGGCAAAGGAACCATTGTAGTGCGAGCCGGCGAGCATGGGTGTCTTGTGTCATCATCTACTATAGAGGGACGTCACCGTTGGCTCCCAGCTTTCTGCACTGATGCATCGGCCGTGGTGGATGCCACTGGCGGCGGCAATACGTTTTTAGGAGCGTTCACGTTTGCCATGGCCGCTTGCAACAAAGATGCCGTGGGTGCTGCTGAGATGGCAAATGTGGCGGCCTCCTTTTCGCTGGAGCAAATAGGTACACCAAAATTGCAACAGAATCCGGGTCAGAGAGAAAAATGGAACAATAGCGAGTTTGAAGAGCGATATCAACTATATCAGTCTAAACTTCAATAATATTCGCTTAATTAAGCCCCTTTTTCGCTCATGACTTGAAGTTAACATGAACCTAAAGAGTAACTTAAGTTTGTAAAGTTTGTTTCTTTTCACGTTAATTATCTGACACAAGGTGAGGGTTATTTATATACTAGGGCTTGTAGGTTAACCACGTTGTGGTCGATATCGCCGGTTTGAAGTATTAACTTGATGTTGTGCAGCCGTGTCGGAAAATATCAAAGGAAGCTCAATTTAGTTTGTATTTTGATCATGAAAGATGCCAAAAAGCTCACATGTGCTAACTTTTCTTCGAGATTATTCTATACAACGGCTCTAGAGTGTCGTTAAGACCAATCAGACACCTTCACAGGACTTTGAAGTGGTATTGACCCGAGAGAATCCAGACTCTGCGGCACCTTTTCATCCACTATATGCCCTGCTCGGCCCTGGCAATCCTCGACTGCGAGGAAAGCTTATAGCGAAGAGAATGCTACTCTAAAGTGTGTTCATGTCCCTGGCCGACGATTGACCAGATCGCATGCCTAGATATCTTTCCAGTCGTGAAGAAGACTCATACTTTGCGTCTTTCTCCTCTGAGTTGTTTGTTCTTACTAGTGACACGGGCGGCCGGACAGCCGCTTAATACCACCTTTAGGTCATTGGTTCGTATCAAAAATTTGTTGTTCGGCAAGAGCCCATCATGCCTCGCCAAGACTTGGTTCCTTGTCGCTCGCCTTCCGAATGATCCAGCCATAGTAGTCAAATGAGCCTTTCCCACTGAGAACCTCCATCTCCAGGTCCCATGCGCTGGCGGCGTCCAAGAGAGGCCGTATGAAATGGGGTTGCCTGAATGTGACATATAAGAAGATGCCATCAAAGTTCCTAGCAATGTACCACTGAGGCCTAAGATATCTTCTACGAGCCCAGACAGCAAGCCACTCTTATCCGAATCCGCATATCACCAAGCGTGGCAATCGCTTGAAGAGGGCCAAATGGCCGACTTGACGAGAGGAGATGCCATCCTATTTCTGTTTGAGCAACTCCGCGAAACGGATCAGATGCATCGAGAGAAGTCGCATTTTCAGAGGGGGTTCCAAAATTTAGTCAGTGAAAAGGCTTCCAATAATAGATGCCCGTTGTTCGCACTTACAAGATCTATCTAAGTATTATTACATCTGGGTCCGCCGCTGAGCTTTCCTTAGCGCTTAACTTGAATGCAGTAGACGTCTATCTCCATCTCCCATGACCATATCCGAGGACCAAGCGCTGAAGAGCATGTATCGAATGTCTTATAATTCCCGCTATTCACTATACAGACATCTTCATTGCAATGGTCTTATGCGGATCGTATCCCTTGATGACAAACTCTTCCACCTTCCAGCCATCAATGCTGCAGCCCTTCTCACGAGCGATCTCTAGCTCTGGGAAAGCGCGCGGCTCGCGTTCCAACTGTGTCTTCAGAGCATCCACATGGTCGAGGTAGACATGCGCGTCTCCCATAACATGTGTGAGGCTTCCAGGCACCAGATCGCAGACGTGGGCGATCATGTGTGTTAGGAGCGCATAGCTTGCAATGTTGAATGGTACACCCAGGCCCATGTCGCATGAACGTTGGTATAGTTGGCAGTGTAGATGACCCTTTGGCTTGCTCTCAGCTGATCCGTTCACTTCCTGACCTTGTCCCGGGTAGGAGACATAGAATTGAGCGAACATGTGACAAGGCGGCAGCACCATGCTGGGCATGTCCTTGAGGTTCCATGCGGAAAGGATCATTCGTCTGTCGTAGGGGTTTGTGCGGAGCTTGTGTATGATCTCCGCCAACTGGTCAACACCCTGGCCGGTGTAATCGGTCTTTGCGTCTTTGTACTCTGCGCCAAAGTGTCGCCATTGGAAACCGTAGACGGGTCCCAAGTCGCCGACTTCGCGGTGTGTCAACCCCAGATTATCCAGGAACTCGCGGGAGCCATTGCCGTCCCAGATCTTGACGCCGATCTCGTTCAGCGCGATAGACGATGTGTTGCCCTCAATGAACCAGAGTAGTTCCGCAATGACGGCGCGGGTGAAGACGCGTTTCGTGGTGAGGAGAGGAAGGATCGGGCGGCCATTGTCGTTGAGCTTGAACTTGAACGGCCGCGGGGCGAAAATGGACAGAGTCCCCGTGCCTGTTCTGATATTATGTTAGACTTCACGGCTAGACCTCAGGTATGGATAGCATGCCCACTTACCGATCGGGTCGCCGCTCGCCCTGCTCCAAGATCTCGCGGATGAGGTCGAGATACTGATATTCTTCGTGTACTGCCGCCCCCGTCATTGTCACTGTGTCATACAATCGTGAAGAGGTGGAGAAGAGCGTCGTAGCAAGTAGAAATCAAGGAGAATTCGGATATCGTAGTGATTGCATGGAGGGGGCAATCCGACGTGTTGAGGCGTGTCAATTGCGACGCGCTAAAGGTTGACGCGCCGGCGCGCCGGAAGCTGCTAGTAAAGTGCGAGCGCACGTGAAAAGTACACTTTAAGGGTATATTACGTGACACCAGAGTCTGGTCTCAACCCCCCTGTGAACCTAAGCCGACAAACATCATTGACTTGCCCTGCAACAGTCATGTGTAAGTACGCAACGGTGTAGTTCCTTTACTGAGAAGGAAAGTTCCCAAAAGGGAAATAGAGATCCTTTTGCACATCACGTGCTAAGCATTGGCACTGCTAAGGGTGGCGGAAGACGGCTGAAGTAATTGGATGAATTCGGGTCTGGTCATCGTCAAAAAGTACTATGCATGAAAATGGGCATGGGTTCCGTTGATACGGCTGTCGCACATAATATTTGGGCAGCTGTCTGTCTAAGTACATCGACTCATGATGATGGGTGTACTCTATCAAAGCTTTCCAAATTGCCGGTGACCTTTTGTGTCTTTTCGTGCAAGCAGATATTGAAAGAAAATCATGCACTCTAATGATGGATCTTCACAAGACCAATGGGACGGATTGCCATCGGATTTATCTTATGCAGGCTACAACCAAGACGAGGAAAATGACTTCGGACTGGATTTATCTGAATTCGCAGGTTACGATGATAACATCGACATGCCTCACCAAACCGGTCTGGATGTTCTAGCCATTGAGAACTGGGATCATCAGACAGGTCTCCAAGGCGTGACACCGCCGTGGAGTTCGGAGGTGACTTTCAGAACGTATCCGACAACTCAGTTTCAGACGGCGACATTGCAGCCGGTGAGGCACTCTCCTGCGGCCGCCACCGAGACACTAGAGAGTACCCCTATTGCCCTTTTCAGCACGGGGCGGGGCACTCAGAGTGTTTTCCGGGCCGTTGAGGATGTCCCCCGTGGCGCCGCGCAGCATCCTACCGAGGTGTGGGAATTGCACAAAGCCGAGATCCGGCGTTTGTATATGGAGCAGCAGAAGACACTGAGAGAAGTGATAGAAATCATGGACCAAAGGGGGTTTCGTGCCACGTAAGTTGTACATCGATAACCCAGTCAGACCTCTAAGTAGCCAGCTAGACCTGCGCTTTGTACTAACAAGGGGAAAACTGCAGTGCCAGGATGTACAAGAAGCGTCTCGACCAATGGCGCTTCTCCAAAAACAGCAAAAGAAAATCCACCAGCGGCAAGACCCATGAGAAAGCCAATCGACCCGGTAAACCACCTGCAAAAGATGCTTTAAGTCTTAAGCTAAATGCTGCGAGAAAACGGCGGCCCGTACTCGTAAAGGAAGAAGAGCTGTTGGAAGCCGGTATGGCTGTCTACGAGGATCATCGCTTGTTAGCCTATCTGACCTCACCGGATTCTCCCCTCTTTCGAGAACAATTCATGAGTGGCATAGGAGAGCTCTCAAGGCGCCACTACACCCTTGATCAAAACTTGTACCGAGGAGTCATACCTTTCCTTAGTCATATCTTGAGTGAATCTAGGAAACGAGTTAATGATCTTATCGAAGCATCATGGTTTTTCAATCAAAAAGAATACGAGAAAGGCCGCAAATGGGCCTGGAAGGCATTTGAGATGCTTTTGGACTTTTTACAAGATCAAAATTTCTACTCATTACTCTATCTATTCATCAGCATTCCCCGATGGAAGGACTCAGGTCTCATGTTGAAAATGTTGAACTGTCTGGATACCAATGCCAACGACATTATGGGTCCGAACCATCATTTGTCAGTCTTGTTCAAGCAAATGTGCAATTTTTACAGATCGCATGGCCCAGATGAGTTTTCCGCGGTGGTCTCTGATGCCTTGAAGAGGGTCTTTGACGTCATTGATGATATGGGGCGAGAGGATTATTGTATCACCTGGCTGAAGTGCGACTATGCTTGGACCTGTGACCTTGACGAGCTCTGGGTCAACGGACTTCTCGACGAAGTCATATCGCTCCGCAACTCGCTCAAAGGGGGCCTACACGACGAGGAGATTCTAGCATGGACCCATGCAATGTACTTGCATATACAAGTCGTGAGACAGATGGAAGGCGACAAGTCCAAGCGGACATTTGATGTGGCAGAAGACGTTGAAATTAATCTCTCCAGGACTGACTCCGAGGGTGATACGAATGCGATCCAGGCATTGTGTTTTCGGACCATGGCTCAATATCATAAAAGCCTCTGCACGTCACAGCAACCGGCATCAGATCCTCGGCACGGCTTAGCTCGACATTGTTTAAAGAGGGCTACTATTTTTGACGAAGCACATTGGGGCCTGGGTCCAAACATAGTGATCCAGGACCTCAAGCGGCTAGAAGCCTGGAATAGAGAAGCCGAACGGTGGGAAGAGGTAGAGGCAGCGAAAGTCAAGTGGGTTGAGGGGATGTGGATAAGCTCAAGCAACACATGGGCATCTAAATCGTAACACGTGGTACTTTGGCCTGGGAAGAGCTAGATTGGAGGCTAAGATACACGATCCTCATTCTGACTTATCTTTGAGCATTTCCGTTGTATGTCTATCTACGCAAATCTTTGGGTCTGTCTCATGTGGTGTAGAAGAAATCTGTAGGAAACATTAGCAGAGAAACATATATGCAAGGGCTTCTCTCCCGTCATACCAGGGTGCTTATCGCCTAATTCTTCCATGGTCTTCAGCCTGTCTTGTGAAGCTTGTTCCGAAAATTGAGCAGCAGCCTTCTTTGCATTCAGGTAGCCAAAATACCACCTAAGCACTAATGAGGTTACCAGGATTACTACTGATAGTGCGAGTGCAGAGGCATGGCCGATCCTATCTGTACACAATCTCGTTAATACATCGCCTCCGGAACATGGAAGGGGCCACCTACAATTCGGCGGATCGATGTAGGCGTGCTGCCCAGATATTGCAAAGAGCTGCGAGAAAATGTTGACAAAAGCGAGCGCAGAGCCCCTACCAATTCGCAAATTTTAGTAAAACCTCCCGCAACTGAAAGGATAAGGTATCAGGAAAGTCGGCAGTTATTACCTTCGAGTGTAACCGACGAAGCTCATTGCAGACCATGATAGCTGCAGCACAGTATTTGGATACATTGAGAATGCAACCAAACATGTGGCCACATATCGAGCCGTGTTGTTTGTCACGCCGATTAGAATAGCGTATCCAACAATGCCTCCCGCAGTCGATAAAGCTATGGCAAGGCCACGCGCGTTTGTACGATCAGCCACTCTAGCCCAAAACAGCACGCCAGCACATGCGAATGCGTAGACGATGACCGTAAATAATTGTGCGTTGACGCTTGTATAACCAAAGCCCTGTGTTGAATATGTTAGATCGCTTGATATACACGTAAGCCCGTAACATGAATAAGACGTTTGCCTACCCTGACGATATCCGGGAGAAAGTTGAATAAAGATGTTGTAGCAAAATGACTGCAGCAAGCAATGATCGTGAACAGCCAAAAAGGAAGACTCAACAATATCAATGGCACTTTCTTGACCTCTAGCCGAGCTTCAGCAGTATTGTGGGCTTCCAAACTTCTTTGGATGATGCGTTCTCTCTCCCAAGCATTAAAGCCGAACCGAATCCTTCTGGGACTGATCGGCAGTAATAGCAAAACGACGAAGCTAAAGACGCAAGGCATGATACCCTCGATCAAGAATATCCATCTCCAAGCTCGCCAGCCGTTGGCTCCATCTAAATCCTTACTGATACCATATGATATAAGGCCGTTGAATGCGCCGGCAATCGTAGACATAGAGAAGAATATGGCGCCTCGGGTAGCCAACTCGCTATAGGGGTACCAGAAACTTAGATCTGCGATAATTATAAGCCATTGCGTAGGCAAACAACGACGTAACCCGATAGGCTGATACTCACAGAAGACGCCTCCTTGCACAAATGCTTCCGCGGCACCAATAAGAAATCTCAGGGCAAGCAACTGCCCTGTGTTCTTGATAGTTACGGTGACTGCGGTGAAGACTCCCCACTAAAAGCATGACCATATTTAGCACTCTACCCGGTCAATAAGTGTTGCGCGGTCATACCAGCATCATCGCTCCAGCAAACTGAATGGGTGCTCGAATTTTCTTGATCAACAGGGTACCCGGAAGTTGAAGTACAACGTATCCTACGAGGAACATAGTCGCCGCGTTGGAATAGTCTTTTGGCGACAGCTTCAGTTCGTCTGAGAGACCTGCAATTTTTGCGTTGCCAAGATCCGATCTTCCCTGATAGTTGTAAGCCATTAGTAATTTTGATATAGAATTAAACGCTTGTGAAAAGACTATGAGAATTCTCAGGGAAATTGTATAAGCATAAAGAGAACTAGCAAGAGACTACATACCATGGCGGCGAAGAAATAGACACTCGATATGAGCGGTAAAATAAAGAGATCGAGCTTCCATTTCAGTTTCCGTTCCAATGCTGGATCAACCTCTTCTCGGTTTTCCTCATGTGAAGTAGTTGTCTGCAAAATAGACGACTCTTTGAGTTCGGTCGCCTCAGGGATTGAAGAAGCCATCATGTATCGGGATTAACGAGCCTCGACTGTTGTATACGCTTGGCTACAACAAGGGGTGAGGTAGCTCGTCTTCAACTACTCTGCACAGCAAGCGTATCTAGGACGAGACAGTGAAAGGTAATTATATTCAATAGTATTGGAGACATATTTAACCCTGGTGCGAATCTTCTACCCTATTCAGCTGTAAGTGGACCATCGTAGGATGCGGGGTGGCCTTTATTCGCGAAATTCGGCACACTAAGGCTCGGGATATGAAGTCGACATTCTTTGCACTAAGCCGCCAAAGTCCACCTTCATATTGTCAGGGGTGCAGCAGTAGATAGTTGGCGGAATGATACAAGTTCCCCAGCATGACGGTATTGGACCGAGGCATTAGAG